CACCATCCTGCTATAAGCATAAGACAGTTTTCAACTACTGGAAATTTGTTTACAATAAAAAAAAAAATTCTTTGAATGGCTCCCCATGTACTTCCATATTATAAGATCACTGGCTTTAATTTCTCTTAATTGCTTGTGCAGGAATATATATTGGGTGCTGATACGCTTGTGTCTCTTTAACACAAGCTAAATTTCTTTTAAAATTAAGTATTTAATGTGTATGGGTGTTTTGTTTGCATGCATGTCTGTACATCACGTGAATGTCTGGTACCCACAGAAGCTAGAAAAGGTCTTGGATACCCTGGAACTGGAATTACAGATAGTTAGTGGCCATGTGGGTGCTGGGAATCAAATCAAGTCCTTGAGAAGAACAGCCAGTGGTCTTAACTGCTTAATTCTCTGGACTCTAAGTTTCCTTTGCACTAAGAAAACTGACAACAGAGGATGAAGAAAAGGGAGTAGATTGTGGAGGATGAAAAGATTTCAGAAAAGTGGCAAGAAATAAATGTTCCAGGCAAACATCTAGAGAGCCACTCAGGGAGCCTATGAATAACATTTTCATTCTGTCTCTCTCCTGAAAAGCAAGTCTAGAAAATTTCATTTCATTCATGCATGCATTTCTGAAATCATTCTGCAAATCATTGTGGAGCACCTACTGGTTATCAGGCAGTCAAGAAAGGCTGTAAATAAAAATGACTAAGCAATATCAACAGGCATATCTCACTGTGAACACAAGTGTTATTAGCATCCCTCTGAAAAAAAGATTTATTTGGGGATTCTTCACACTGAGTTCCTTAATGTGAAGCATATCACATTATTAATATTTTTAAAAGAGATTTTGCAGATGTAATTGAATGCCAAACACAAATACTAAATAGCAGCATCAGTGTGACTTTCTATTTATTTTCACAGTAATTTCATGCTGAAAAACCACACGAAGAGTGACAGTTTTGTATTTGATAAATGCCTAATAAATGATGAGGGGTTAACGTTCTGAAACTAATGTTTTCTGAGAAAAATGAAAAAAAAAACAAATATTAAACTTTTAAGCTTTTCTAAGAAGAATAAGCCTTAATGTCTCCCTAAGACAAACTTCACTTACAGTCTAAAATAAATACTTGAATTAAATTTTTGTATGATTCAATTTAAAATTAATTTCTTCCCACACATGTTGTTTAAAACAATGTTTCACCAAAGTTTCCTTTAAGAAAGAAAGCAAACATAGGTGTATTTAAGGGAACCAAACTGGGGGATTCTTCAAACTCTGGGAATTAAACTCTTGGAACATATTTTACTGCCAGGAGATGAGAAAGGGATGGAATAAAATGGTTCCAAAGCCACTTCTTAGATTTGCTCCAAGGAGCAAAGTTGGCCTCTTGACTACTCCTAAAAGTGTTTCATGAAATAAACACAGCAGAAAAGTGATTTCAACGGTGGAAGAACAGGTACAAGTTTTAGAGTTCTAATCTATGCATACAAATTTACCGCAGCGAAACTATAAGTGGTGTTTGATCTGAAGAAAGCTTCACATAAAAAAGATATGTTTTAAGAGATTATTATAAATATCTTTGAAAAAGTAGTATTAGCTACAAATATTTACATCTCTCAATGTAAAAATAGGCATGCAGCAAACAGGTTAAGCTTACTAATGTATCCATCTAATAAATCTATTGTCTAATTGAAGTTAACTATATTCTACCATAAGCATGAGTTTTACTATTCCAATGTTGTCAAAGTCAAGACTGAAATTATGCATATTCAGTTAAAGAGTCAGTGTAGAATTCAAAAGCCCAGGTCCTTAGATTCACACACACACACACACACACACACACACACACACACACACACGTGTGTGTGTATATGATGTATATATGCATGTATGTGTATATATATATATATGTATAAAATCTTAGACAGCTATATTTGATATTGTATATTTGCCTTTTATCTTCCAAAAAGTAAGCTTTGTGAGATGCAGAATAATTACATACAGGAGAAGTAAAACAAAAGTAACCCTTTACCTGAAAAACTGAGAGTCTTAGTTTTTTCCTCTAACAGAACACAACTTAAATGAGAGAAAAACGCCTCAACTGTAGACCAGCAAACAGGAACTACACTTTTGGTCACGTTTACCTCTTCCTCATCCCTCCATCTCTTCCTTCCTAAGTTTTGGTGGTAAAATGTCTCTTTTAAATTGAGATTTCTGTATACTGACATAAGATGACTCACAACAAAATGGCATTAAGCAGTCACTACAGACAGCTGCTCTGGAAAATCCTAGTGGAATTTACTCTGAAAAAACACCCAGCTAAGGTTGTTTTTGTGGAAGTAGATGAACAGCTTCTATTAATGCTAATTGAAATCCTCATATCCACACATACCATGCATAAAATTTACTTCTACAGTTTTTCTTTCCACCTCAAAATTGCAGTAGATCCCATGCCAAAGTGCTAGCTGTTTAATTTGAGCATCCATGCATGTAAATTTATACGTTTTTGGTGATTATGTTGACAAATTCAATACAGGTGAAATCCCACTGTTTGCAAAATGGACAAAGTTTTCTAAAACAATGAAAATTGAGTCTCTTTAAAAAAGATTAATTCAACTAAAATAAAATTTATAATTTCTTAATTTTTTTTACTGCAATAACAGAAGATTAACGACTGTGACACTAGTGTATGACTAAAAGATATCCATACTTTAAGTCCCACAAAAACCAAACTTACATATAATATACATATGCTTCTGGGTGCAGACTAGGCTACTTTTGGCAAGTACCAAATGCATGGAACGAAGGAACAATATTCGTTTCCCAGGATAATTTATACAGTCTAGTTGAAGAATTGTGTAAGTTTGTTAAATTCTAAGTAGCAATACTAATGAAGTTCAGACCTATTCCAGATAAAAATAAGATCTTTTAGCTTAGCCAGTTAATGGTGGTGCATACTTTTTAGTTCCTGTATTTTGGAGGCAAAAGCAGGCAGATTTCCTGAGTTCAAGGCCAGCCTGGCACAGAAATACACTGGGAGAATCAACAGAACTTCAGATGTTTTTATTCTTGAACTATAGAATGGTAAACTAAAATTGTTTTGTTGTTCGTGTTATTGTTGTTATTTTGTTTTGTTTTTTTCAGTAGAAGTTACTTCCTGCCTCAGTGAAGTAAGAAAAAAAGCATACATATTATCCATAAACAGTATTTTCCCAGCAACAATATAGATTTCATTTAAGAAGATCACAGCTGTGAGGTACGGACTTCACACAGTTCTCTAAACTACTGCATGTGACTGGGTTCTCACTGGAAACACGTATCAGGTGTTGAGAGCCTTCCCAGTGCAGGCAGCAGCTGGTAATGCTGTCTAGGAGAGTTAGCCTCTAGTCTTTGAAGAGATGCTAGAACCTGTTACAGGAGACAGAGCAGACTTGGCCTTCTCTTTTGTAGAAAAAGTTAATACACCATAATATCAGCATTGCTAATTTTGGAAACACATGACGTCCACACTAGCTGAGCTTCCTAAAGATATGAGAAAATGGTACCAAACTCATCATTTTCTTTGAGGAAGAAGTAGAAAGTCATTATTCATTTGTCTATTCAACAAAAGCCTATTGAGCCTTATTTCTATGTACACAATATATTATATTAATATCTGAAAAGAAATAATGATTAGACATATACATAATAAAAGGCTGAGTGAGGCATGCTTATTGGACATAATGAACGTAGTTCTGTATGAATGTGTGTGTCTAATGGGGTAGATTAGAGAGCAGAATGCTACGCTCATAAGAATAAGGCACATAATTCAGAAAATTAGAAATAATAATCACTAAATTTTTCCTTTCTTTTATCAAGACAAGGTTTATCTGTGTAGTTTTGACTGTCCTGGAACTTGCTCTTCGTAGGCCAGGCTGGCCTCAAACTAAAAGAAATCCACTTGTCTCTGTGTCAGGAGTTCTGGGATTAAAGGTGTGTGTTATTACCAACTGGCAACAGCAAATCTCTTAGTGACGTAAGTACTTTATTTTTATTTACTATATGACTTGCAAAATTCTGACATACATCTATGTTTTCCAGTACACATTAACTTGGGCAACAGTGTTATACCATGTTATAAAATTACACTTACTGATTTTTTTATTTTAAATTTACTTTTGAGATAAGATCTCATGCTGTGGCCTAGTCTTGCCTGGAACTCAATATTATTCAGCATAGCCTTGAACTCTTGGGAATCATCTTGTTTCAGCCTCCCAAGAGCTTAGTTTACAGGGATGAACCACCATGCCCATCAAAAACCTAATAATACTAAAAATGAAAAGCATTAAGGATTTTTTATGCTCATCTTTATATAATATTAAAAGTCAACAGTGTGTTCCAGACGGGGGAAGCATTCAAAAAAAAATTGAAATTAAAGACAGTTTCAGCTTAATCATGCCAGTGTTTTCATTTATTATCATTTATTCAAAATTTGAATTATTGTATTTATGAGTTATTATGTAGGTTTGCTGAGACATGTGGATCATCTATACTTCCCTGAGGGCTGGTCTTATGTATCATCCTTTGTAGGGTAGAGTTGCTGTTGTCTAGCTCCAGTAGCATTTTGTGGAGCTAACCTTTTGATATGATCCATATTGGAAAAAAAAACCACTTCGAGACCATTCTCCAATTAATGCAAAAGGACAGAATGCAATCTTAGCAGAAGCTGTATATAGTCCATTACACAAAGAAATAACTGTGTGATTAAGGCCAATGTACTTCACAGAAGCAGAATGATTTCAGAGACAAACTATGCAAAGGACAGAGTCGCTTCTCAGGTCCATATTCTTAGAGAAGAAATAATAACCACCAACCTTTCTAAAATGAAAAGAAAATGAATATTCTTTTTTATATTCCCAGGCCAGAAAATTGAATAGGAAATTGAATAAAATATTAAAAGTCATATTACTGAGAGAAAAAAAGAAAAGCCTTGTAGCTTTTCTCAGGAAATTACCAAAAAAGTCACACTTACCTGATCTACTATCCAGAGGCCCGAAGTCCAAAGAGTATTTCACAACATGGTAGTTATTCCACACATAAAGCAGATTGTCCCTGGGATTGTAATCCACAGCTGCTATGTACTGGTATGAGTTGGGAAAGGGTACATCCACCAGACTATCCTTGCTTTGGTCAGTGTTGTAAATGTAGTCAATCTTATTTCCGGTGGCCTCGTTGTCGTCATCCTCATAGACAGATTTGACCACATACAGAATCCCACAAATCATAAATGCATTGGAAGCTGACCTTTTATCATATGCAGTGTCCCATGTCCCCTCAATCCGTAGGGTGTAAGGGTTCAACTGGCTAATGACAATTTTGCCATTGTTCTGTTCTGTTGCATAGATTACCCATAATCCATTTTCATCCACTGCCAAGTCTATGTCAGACTTGCCACCCCATCGGTAGGGGGAGGTGTCATGGTAATTGGCATTTGCTATGATTGCCTCTCCACTTTTTATCCTAGTCCTCAAATCAAACTTTACTATATTCCTTGTACGCTCCTTGTTGAAGAACAAGGCACCATCATATACTACAAATCCAGTGCCGTCAACTCTGTGAGGGAGCTTGTAGGTAGTTGTTGGCCTCCCAGCAATGAAGTCATCTTTGGACGAATACTCTGTCAGGGTGTCAGTTCTGTAGGGAGTCCAGGGCATATAGTAAATCTTGTCAGAAGCCTGTAGAGGGTCTTTGCACCATGCCCCAGATTGGTGGTCAGATTCAAATAAGTGTTCACTCTGGTATACTCCTTTTAGCAGTCCGGGACAAAGAAAAACTGTCAGGAGGAAAACAGTTATAATAATAAATATATTAACTGATCCATTTTTCATCAAGTCTTATTTTAAGCAAACAGAATGCAATTCTAACAAGTGATACCCACCACCAGTTACTTTGTGGCAATAGGTTATTTTTTTTTAACTAAATAAAGCATCCTTCCACATTAATTTTGAATTTTTGCCTCCAAACAATTTGATGTCACTTGTTGGGAACAGTTAGCCTTTTTAGAAGCAGTTGTGCTTTGCTGATTTTTACCTTTGCAAACACGTATTTTGATGCACGTCTGAAGTGTAGCATATGTCTATGACTTCTATAGACATATAACAAGATACCAAGTTCACACATCATGGTTTTGCTAGTTCACTGAAGAACTGTATCTCGTTTGAGAACGATAATCCATTCTTTCCACTCTGATGAAATTGACTGTTTGGTAGTTATTTATCATTAAGAAACAGGTATCTCACATTATTATTCTTTTAATAAAGAAAAAGATCTGCAACACAGGCCACTGAATCTTGTAGCAAAAAAAAAAAATCTGAAAGCTGCTGCAACACACAGAGAGCATGCAACCCATTCAATTAAAGATGAGTGATGGATGGATACTAGAAGGAGGAAGAGAAAGGGAGAGAAAGAAAGGAAAGGAGGAAGGAGAAAAGAAGAAAAGGTGAAAGGTTACAGAAAAGAACCCAGGATCTAGATTTTTTAATCAGTTAAAAATGCCCTGTTAAGTACAGTATTATTGGAACTTAAAAACATGTACCTTTTACTGTTACATGAGAAAAGCATTGGAAAACAAGATTACTTGCTATATTTTGCTGCTCATACTTCAGAAGGAAAATGGGCAGGAATCGTATGATTCTTTTTTTTTTTTTTTTTTTTTTTTTGTTTTTTAGTATGATTCACTGGAGAACACTGTTAAATATGGCGGTAAGAACACTTGGCAGGTTCATCTGAAATGAAGGGCTACAAAACAACGTTTCCCAAAGGGTGGTTCCTGAAGCAGTGGTGCCATAGCTGAATGCTGCTCACAAAGAAAAAAACGGGACTCGTAGCCACATTCAGTTATGACACGGGACAGTAAATAAAACCGTGGCGCGGAGGAGGATAGCTTATGCACGTCAATAAATCTCTAAATCAGAAGTTAGGCGAGTGAACTCATTGCACAATTTGATCCTGGGAGCCTTTCCACGGGGCCATCTTGGATGACCGTGTTCTGCCGAACCTGCTCTGGGAAGCGTTGCTTGCATTTATTTGTAAGGCAAACACACTGAAAAAATAACCATGCAGTCTGCTGTTAGGTTTGAGATTATTAGAATTTTCCTGGGTGAAAAAAAAAGTTAGGAGATCACAAATAATTGGATGTTGACCTGCTTTTTAATGAACAAAGGATTATTCTTTTAGTGTTACTGATTAGCTCCTTAATAGTAACTAGAAATACAGAACCCCTGAATAAATAGTGTAGGAGGAGCCTCAGCTGTGCATTAAGGATGCCTGAAAGGAAGGGATATTCCTAGGATGCTCAAAGTTTTAATTTTAAAGAAATGAAAAATTTTTGTGGGAAAAGTTGACCTTCAAAGTCTGCAAAGATAGAGGCCATTATAAATTTGTGATCAATAATAATATTGATGGCTATCAAACTTGGGAGTTTTAATATGAAAGACTTGTTTACAAACATATTACTCTTTGACTCAGAATTGTATATAACCTTTACAAGTAATAACTGGGCCCTTGGTTACTAACAGCAGATGAATTTGCATTGTTCAAAGTGGTGTGGCCACAGTCACTAGTGTCACTTGGGATAATTAAGAGAAATATCTTCTCCCCTTTCTCCAGCAGTTAAGAGTCAATGTAGACGGAAAGACACAGCAGAGCTAAGGGAAATTAAGAAAGACTGAGGAACAAATCTAAAGTAATCATTATAAACCATACCCACTCGATTTCTAATTACTAGTTTCAAATGAAGAGGAATAAAATACAGTGTTGATGATCTCAAAATATTAATAATCTGTGTTAGGATCAAAGGAGCAAACCAGGACTGGTCAGTAAAACAGATTAAAGTGAAGTTGAGCAGCAGAAGTAGTGAATAAATTTGCATAAAATAAGAATTAATAACAAAATTATTTAACTAAAGGTTAAACTGTTAAATAACTTAGCCTATAAATAGTATATAATTTATGAAAGGTATTTAATTACCTTTTTGTTCCACTTCTATTGGAGAGAGAGAAGTAAAGAGAGAAAGGAGAAAAGAGAATAGATTAATGGTACGGTATTGGCCAAGTACTTTTAATTCACCTTTTCCAAACTGAAAGTAAATAATTTATTGTAGTCATGCTTGCTTAATTGAATGCTACGGTGTTTTTTTTTTAAACATTTCACCAAAAACAAATACTTTCAAAATAAACATGAGATTTAGAATCTAGCATAAACATAGAAAAATCACTGTAAAAATTAATATGGGGAAAGCAATAACCATAGTAAGAACACGGGTAGGTACATTTGAAAGAAAGATCAGCAAGTTAATACACTGGAACTCCCACTCAATTTGGTTAGTTTCACTTACAAATACTATAGTGGATACCACTACTTAAGAGAATAGTTCTGCTGGTTTTGTAGCTCACAGAGGCGACCAGTTTAGAAGAGACTCCTCTGCAACTCATTTCCTAGAACCATTGACCTTGGGTAGTTCGTGAGGTTTAAAAGAAACACAACTTGTAAAGCTATAAGCAAATGGTGAAAGGATCCTACCCTGAGAAAACAGATGCACTTGGAATTGTTACTGAAAAAGCTTCCCATCCACCCCCAATACTTGACATTACGATGAAAAAATACTGTCTCATATAAATCTCCAATCAGAAGAGTAATGTAAATAATGAGGCAAGGCCTCTGTCTGGCCTTATTTGAAATTCTTAACTAAGTCAATAAATACTTAGAACACGAGAGTTTCAAAGATGTTATGGGTATGTATGTCTGATTTTAAAGGTTCTGATAAAAAATGGAGAGAATGCAACATAACCATGAAACGTTAACTGGTACCTTTGTTACTTTATAAACGGATGCAATTTGCCTTCATCTTAATGAGCAAAAGGGGCCGATCCAAGAAAGGCAAAGATTTGGAGGAAGAGTTGGTTCATAATCAAACATGAACAATCAAAAAATCCAAATGTAAAACTAAAGCAATTTTAGTAGAAAGGGTAAATCAATGATCTTTATCAGAGGCAAATACACTGAAAAGTCCACTGATATGTCAAAAATAAACGATAAATACTGTGTTGGGGTAATTATATTTGACTGGACTTCTATGCTGTGGCAGAAATTCTTATAGATTTGTTTCCTTTAAAAGAAAACTTGTAGACTTCTTGTAAAGTACAGGATTGTCCATTAGAAGAAAACCTGGTGTGCATATATCCATATACACATATACATGATACATGTATATGTTTATACGAGGGTTGCACCTTGCTCATTTACATATGTGACTTTTCAGCACTATTTCTACAATTCTTTCAGAACCACTATTACATGATTGTCACCATTTGCAGTTATTCTTTATTAAGTGAATACTAGGTTGTGGGTCAATATGGGCCAACAGAAAGCCTTATCTAGGAGATGTTCAGCTGAAGATAAAGGGTGGTAGCACCAGAGCCTGCCAACTCTCAAGGTGAGCTCATTCTGTTGTGATGGAAATGGGGCCTGAATCTTCTCCCATAGCTATAACATGGGACGTGACAGCCAGAAAAACAAGACAAATGCAGGCCACACAGTCTTTTTCTGGATCATTCAAATTTGCTGAGAACCAAACTTGAGGAGAAGGCAGAAAGCAAAAAGCTAGTAGGCGTGCTGCCTAGACTCCGGCTGCCACCCTCCTGGGGCTCTAAGTCAAGTAAGTTTGTAGTTTTGGTTGCTGGGCAAATCTGCTTGCTAACTCAGCTTGGACATACTATGCCTGCTGCAGATCAACAGTCCTCTATGACAGTTAATTACAGTAAGCACTGAAATTACACACCCTTTGATTCTGCTTTTAAAACCAGATAGCTTTACTTGAAAGATGCATTTCAAATTTAGACTAAGAATAAGAGTATATTCAATCTGACTGTGAGGGGAAGTGCAACCGGCAACTTAGAATTGACTTAATTGAGAAGCTCCACGTTTAAACTTGATGCTCATTACAATAAAGATCGAGCTTGGGAATGGGAAGGTGACACTTTAATTTCTAGTCTAAGAAGAATTTCCAAATAATCAGTTCCTTGATTTTTTTTTACTTCTCACATCTCTTTTAAAAAAATACTAATATTTCTATTTTAAAATACTAGAACTTTATTCATGTTTCACACAAAAGAATCATCATTCAGAACAAATATCCTAATGTGTTTGTTAGTGACACAGTTCACTTCTTTCAAGGATGTATTTTTATTCATTTATGTAGGCATTTCTCTGTGTGTATGTGTGTGGTGGGGGTGTATGTATGTATGTGCATGTGTGTGTGTTTGAGTGTTTGTGTCTGTCTTTCTGTCTCTGTGTTTGTTGTTCCTAGAAGAGGCCACTGGAATCCCTGGACCTGTAGTTACACATATTAGTGAGCTGCCTATTGTAGCTGCTGCATATCAAACTTGGGGTCCTCTGAAAGAGGAGTGAACTCTATCAAGTAGGAGCTGCCTCTCCAGCCTCATGATAAGTTTCTACACACCTGCAAAACTATACTTAGTTTTAAGTTAGGATACTAGGGTACAGTTTAAAGTTGTACGAATATACACCCATTATATTGTCTGAATACCATCTTATACTTCAAGTTTTTATTCCTCAAAAATATTTGATCTCTTTAACCTCTGCTCTAATTTGGTAAAATTTTGATTTTCACCTTTTGTATCAGTCTAATTTCTAGGAACTTGGCATACCCTGTATAGTAAGCCACTCTTGCCTTGCTACTTTCTGCTATTCAAAATGAAGATTGATTACTCAGTTCTGCTTTGGAGAATAATTACCCTGGTCTTGCTTGCCATGTCGTGACTGGCTGTAACTCATTCATCATTTATTTGCTATTTTCAAGGCTGAAGTAAAGCAGTCCTATAATTTAAGTCGAAACAAGCTCACACAAATCATATTTCCATAACAAACCTGGCAAGATGACATAATTTGTCAGTAAAAAAGCCTGGTAACATTTAGCATTGTACAGCCTTAGCTGATTTCTGAGTCTGATGCTAGACGCTAACCTACCCTGGATGGGAAAATCAAATGAAACAGAAACCAGTCTGTGAATGTGTCTCTTTAGAAGCACACAACTACATGGTACATAACGGTTATCTAATGAATAGCTCCTGAATCAAATATACCATCCAAACGAAGGTGAGTGTTTCCGTGTTTAAGTATTTTCAGCATGCTGGAGAAATAAGTGGTGAATCAGGTAAAGTCATAAAAGCCAGATTGTAAGATCTTTCAATACTTTAATACATGTAGCTCAGAAATAAAATACATGAGGAAGTGGCATCTCCAACTTAGTCAGTGTAAAACTGGAAAGAAACAAGTGGAAGACCTTGTATGTTCAACTGATTAAAAAAAAGAAGCTTTACTTACAGAAAAAAAAGACTGCAAGAATCTAAAACTACAGACCTAAGGTGCTCCCTTCTCTCTTCTGTGTAATGGCATCATAAAAAAATTAATTTTCCGATGACGACTGTGTTTTCACCTCCTTCAGACTCTCCGGCCTCTTAGCTGGTCTAATATCCTGATTTCTGACATGGATAGCTGTCATTTGTCATTTGCAAATCCTTTTGGAAATGATTCTCTGCCTCTGCTCTCTTCACTTTTAATCCTGAAAGTACTTTTATTGTCCATTCAGCCTCGGTAAATATGTTTATCTATTTCCTTAAAGTGATTTCATTGTTGTCCTTCATCAAGCATAATGCCATAAGCTATATCCTGTGGTTAGAGTAAATGACAAATTCAAACAAAGGACAACTTTATTCTCTGCGCAAGGAAGACCCTGGGAAAAAAGCCTACTAGTATATTTTTCTTTTAACCTTCAAGGGTTCATCAAATAGATCCACATCCTAGGCATTTTGGTTAGAAAAACACGATATTATCAGTTGAAACCATTTTTGTATAGTTCCATATAGAATACTATGGAATGACATGCTTTAAGCAGAAACAGAATGGATTACATACCATGCAAACGCATTGTCCAGCTTCATCACATTTCATTGCAAATTACATGGAAACAAATGTGTTGTACACTTGAAACTATTAGAGCCATCACTGAAATCTATGCAACTTCATCTAATTCTAATGTTAAATTTTCTTTTTTAAAAAGTATAAGTTATAGAGTGTATGTTTTTATATAAAATGTAAAGATGCCAAAGTTACAGCCTCATAATCTCTCTATATTTCTGTAATATGCAAATAAATACATACTCTCAAGGGGTATAATACGTATAAAATATGAAATACTTTATAAGCAAGCAAATAATATTTTCACTGAAGTATGGTAGTATTTCAAACAGAGCCACTTTCCTTGTTACATACATCTTAGAATGTTGAAATAGGTTTGGGCAACTTTACCACATCCTGAAAAACTAACAAAACATCTATCTATAAGAAACATTTGCTGGTGCATCGTGACCAAAGGGACCTATATGAGCATAATCTAAGTCCACAATAACAGTTCTACTTGAACAGTGCATCATAATGTATTTTTTCCCTGGATTTGCATGACATAAGTCATCAAACAATATTGGGATGTGGTATTTATTATTCCCATCATAGAAAAGTTAACAAGAATTTGAAAGGTTAATGTACTTGAAAAATACTTGGACACATCTATCACTCATTTTCCTGCAGAAAGACATCCCCATCTTACGATTTCCAATGAAGAACTGAGGCCTAAAGACTTAGAGCTCTATAGTTTATGTGACAGAATTGATATTCAGACATAAACTTTAAGCTTGCTCATTATTGACCTTTAATAAAAGATGGTCTTACTTATGCCCAGTGCCTAAAACATAGAAATACCTTAAATAACACTTGCTATCCTTCAATGATACTTTCAAAGAATGGGATTCCATGACACTCCTTTTTGCGGGCTAATATTTCACAAGATTTGAAGCGTGTAACATTTCTCAAGGGAATAAGAGGGAGGAAATGGGTTCTAAATTTCTTAGCCAAGGAAAACAGGGTTTGTATTTTTATTAGAAATAAACCTTTGTTCCAGACCTCCT